GAGCAATGGTCAGCTGACAAATCCATCTCACCGACAACCAGTTCATTGAATATCACTTTATCCGAGCTTTACACTTAAAAGACATTGGATTAGGCTCAATTTCTGGTTGTAAGTGAGGTTATTATCGAGAAGTGGACTTGTCAGCCAGTTGATTGTTGGTTCAATGAAGTTAGCAGCATTTTCGAAGAAGAATAGTGAACATACTTTTATGGTTAATTGAATCAACAATCCGTGGAGTTTCAGAGTTTATCATAGTTTTCAAGTCTTGATAAACTGATTCATGCCTGAACGTTCGTTTGGATCAGTTTTCCAACACCAACTATAAAGGTTTTATGATCTCAGGAGTTCCAAAGACTGGATCTTTTCTCGTACCATGATTAATGCTAAAGCACAAACTAGAGATATCCATAGAACCGGAACTCGATGTGCTTTCGAATGGTCGACGATCACTAGATAATTCCTAAAATAAAAACCAAAGGCAATAAATATACAATACAGAAGATTCCTAATATTCTTATTATTGCTATTCTCTAGGAATTCAGATGCTAAAAAGGGAATCGCCTCAAATAGCTATTACGAACATGTGTTTCCATATTGTCATTTATGGCATGTCCAAGATCTGTTATTTTATCTTCGTCGTTATGAATAAGAATACTAATCAAAGTTTTAGTAAACATAATTTTTAATTTAGTAGATTTTGTTATCTAAGGTATCTTATCAGATCTCTATGAATAATTTCTCTACAATTCAACACAGATAACCCATTTGCAATTTGTAATGCTAAATTTAATCTTTTATTCCAATTTAAGAAACAATGGTTTTGTTGGAAAAAGTATATAAATCGCCATTATTTGCAAATTCTATTACAAGGTAATAACTATTTGTGATTTGAATTTTCTACAGTATGTAAAAATTATTTTAATTTGAAAGTGATAAAAAAGGTGGCCAATATAGAAATACCTCTAATGACTCACAGAAATCGAATAATGTTATTATAATGATTTAAATAATGTGCATTTTTTATTCATCCATAAACGCAGTAGGTTGCTGTTTATATCTTTGTATTTGTTAATGTTTTACAATTAATTACAGTGACTAAATAATTTTATTTACAACAGATTTAATTTTAATAAATCTCTAAAACAGATATATACTTATTAAGTATCAACAGATATATATGCTTGTCAAATATCAACATACCAAAGTTCCCTTTACCAATTTCATAAATTTTATTTCTTCTTATTGTATCATTTTTGAAATTTTCCTCATTTGTATTCTAAAGAAGCATGATTTATTTTTGGCAAATATTATTAATTACAAAACTATAAAATATATTGCCAAAATTTTTTGATTATTTGCTCATTTAGTAAATCTGGATATTTAACTTCCAACAGTCCTAGCGTTATATTTAGATCTATAATAGTTATTTTCATATATGATATACAGTATGCTGCCATACTATATATTAATTAAGAGAATAAAATGATGTTAGGAAAGTTAGTTGAAGTAATTTAAGCTTACTTTTATAGATAATTTCAGTAATGCATCTTTGATATTATCATCATCTGGATAATTAAATTTTTCTAATAAAAGCTTTTTTCGCTTGCCTTTTAAAACATGCTCTGATATTTCACAAATAAGCATTTGAAAACTAATTATGAATAATAATAAATTAGGAAATACTGCCCATAAAATAATCTTGGATTGTTGCTAAAAATACTAGAAAGTTTCACAATGCTATGTATATCTTTTGTATTCTTCACATTGATTTTTATCGATCTGTTCAAGGACCATCTGGCCAATAATTTTTTTTAAATTTATCTGTATTATCAAATTTCTCCTCGATTTTATTACATGGATTTTGATATTTTATCTTCCAGTGAATAACATTTTTTAATTCGTCTGCATGTTCAAAATTTCCACATACCTCGTGTTATCTTTAATAATTTATGATTTCTCTGATCAGGAATTTTATTGATTATTGCTTACAGAAACATTTTTACTGATGAAAATATTTATCGAAAATAGGAATATCATCCACAAGAAATGCCATGTACAGTCGATACTGCCTAATTGCATGCCATCCATTAGAGACTGTTTGATGCATATAGATAGTATATGCAGTTAAGTCATACCGTATTGTCGCGAAATAACGGGCATGGGCGCTATTTAAAATAATGAAAATAATGTCACGAATAAGCTTAATTCAGGCAATTTCACCCCTGCGCGTTATTCGTGACAATACGGTAAGACATTTAGTGGTAATAATTAAATGCCAAAAAATTTTTTATGCACTTAGAGAGTATATGATATTAAACAGTATCGACTGTATTATTTTTATTTTCCTCAGCAAGCGATATCACAAGAATCATAAAACTCTTCTAAACTCATGTATTCAGCCCATTAAAAAATCATTGCTTCTTTATCGTCAATCTTTGTGTGACTATAGAAACGAAGAATGTATAATGATATATCTAATTTTATAAGAATGGATAATTCAGTTTGAGATTTTTTTTAGAATATTTAACGGTGACTTCGAAGCCTTTATAATCTTTTTGATAGGAGAATAAGGATCGATTAATTGGCAAGACAAAAGCATGTGAAAATCAGGAAATGGCGTTAAAAGCAGAAGTACAGCATACCAAGATCAAAGGCTAATATGGTTAACGACATGGAATATGCATAGAGTAGAAAATCAAGTAAAACAGTGAGTATAAATATCAGATACTACGAAACCAGAGTTACAAGTTCTTCTTGAACAGAAATTCGTGTGACCCACCTAACCCACCCTGTGACGGAGAAGGTACGTGATTCTATCATTTTGTTACTTGCAT